GACTCCGAGCCTCCTGGTCCACAGAGTAACAAGTACTGTCTCTCGCCATTCAGTCATGTCCAGCCTAACAGAAGTTGTAAAACTACGACAATACATTGATGTTCTATTGTCAGCAGCTGAAATATACATAAAACAATTGCTTATGGTGGATTTTCAGTTTCAGAAAAATACTGCACTGTTTTGAATTGGTAATGTCCATTTATGTCTCTAAACTTAACCATCATTAACAAGGCTCACTTATTACTAGTTTTAACAACCAGAATTCTAAAGACTATATAATATTCTTATATAAAAATCTGCTCAAGATGGTACAAAAACATGTTCTAAACAGTGGCTGACCACTAAGAATAAGAATGTTATTCAAACAACAACAAAGTATTGCTTTAAAGACTGTTTAAATGAAAATAAATGAAACTTGCATTTCATTTTCTTAGTAAAAAATGTTTTTTAGCTAAGAAAAAAAATATTAAGTGTGACCTAGAAAACAAAAAGCCAAAATTCTCCTTGCATCACTTGCTTTTCCTGAGTTTCTAAGAAGATTAATGCCATTTTTAGAACTCATTTTACATATGCAGCCAGGTTCAATAAGAAACACCTTGACAGCATCTCTCAGCTGGAAAAGCGTCTCTACAATATGAAAGCAAATGCTCTTGTTTCTTTGAAACTCAGTTCTGTATGATGCATATCTCAGCCCTTTTAATCACATTAATCACAGATCTTCCCCAAATTAATTCTTTACATGTTTAAAGACAAACATCTCCTTAAATTATTCTATATCACCACTATTCCTATTCAATTAGTATTCCTTCCATAAGGAGCTTATTGTATCAAATATTTTTCTTTTCAAGTTTATGATCAGAACATAACTATATTCCAGGTACAACCTCATCAGGATCAAATGAGATTTTACCTCACATTACTTCCTTGTGTACCAAATAGATGTTAATTATACACATTATGCGATAAGCATGTGTTGTTAGTGGTGGCTAAACTGAATGTTTCACACATGCTATGAAAGTACCCTTCACTAAACTATAGCTCCTCTTCCAGCCCAGTAATACCATTTTTCAAGAAGAATATGCTGGGTATCAAATCCAAGGCCTCCCATATGTGAGGCAAGCACTTTACTAATTAACCATATCGCTAAACCAAGTAATTTCTTTCATTTGTCTTGATAAAGAGATTCTCTACATAGCCCTGGCTGTCTTTGCCCTCACTATATAAAACAGGCTTCAAAGCACAAAGATCGGCATGTGCTGTCAGATGTGGCAGAGGAGTATATTCTTGAGGAAGCCAAAATACACTTTTCATATTTCAAAAATGAAAGCGTGGACAAGAAAGCTACAACATTTACCAGTACTCACTCCAGGGAGCTATTATGTTCGACGCTATCAAAAATGCCATGCAATAAGCATCTCAATTATACTAAGCATAAACACTCCCAATTAAAAATACAAAAAAATGTCATGTCATCCAGAAAATATATACTCTTTACAGCCAGGACTAGCCCTTAGAATGCATGGGGCTTCGTAAGGGGCCTGGATCCAGACAGCGATGCTAGCTACGCTACTCGCCAGCCTCATCCCTCTCAGCATGATGGCTGTACAAGTCTGTAGGAGACATAAACTGACTACTGCAGTAAAGGAGCACATGTCCACCACCTAGTTAATCCTGGGTTGGTGAACAGTCACTAAAACTCAATGTTTCTGAATGGTTCAAACATTTCTACATTTATGTGGTCAGAGCTGAGCATAAAGATTAAGTGTAACACAAGCAGGGCCTGGTGGTACATCCCTTTTCAATCTCATCAATCAGGAGGCACAGGCAGACAATCTCTGTGAATTCAAGGCTAGCGAAGAATACATAGTAAGACTCGGTCTCTAAAAACAACCATCAAATAATAATAACTCATAAAAGACTAAAAACCACCTGCTACCACTTCACTAAACAAATCCCTATTGTTAACATGAGAAAACAGTTCAGGCATTTTTTATGAGCACTGACTTCTAAACAGTGGCTTAGACACATCATTTCAAGTTTAATGTTTATCAGAAATAGATATTAATATATGTGAAAAAGGGGATTCTTGGTTTAGTTTTGGGCTTTGATGTTTTGGTTTTGTTTGATTTTCATCTTTTTGAGACAAGGTCTCATGTAGCCTAGGCTGGCTTTAAACTCACTGTGCAGCCAAGGACAACCTTGAATGAATGAATGAATGATTAATTAATTATTAAAATTTCTTATTAATTATAGTTTATTCGCTTTGTATCTCAGCTGTAGCCCCCTCCCTCGTGCCCTTTCAATCTCACCTTCCCTCCCTTTCTTTTTTGCTTTGTTTTTCAAGACAGGGTTTCTCTGTATACTCTTGGCTGTCCTGGACTTGCTTGGTAGACCTGGGTGGCTGCCCCAGCTAACCTTGAATTTCTGATCCTCCAGCTTCTATCCAGGGTTACAGGAATGGGCCCCTAGGTTCATTTACGTAACAGAACTCAAGAGTCTGTGTATCTAAGGAAGCACTCTATGAACTAATACACCCCTAGCAGCTTCTTCTGGTTTTCTGAAGCCAGATACACCTAGAAATAAAGCCAGTCATGGCTGAAAAGGGGCAAGAAGCATTATGGGAATTTTAACTGTCTGTTGATAAATGCATCTTTAACAAAGATTAAAAGTTTCAGTGTGGGAGCTGGAGAAATGGCTCAGAGGTTAAGAACATTGGCTATACTTCCAAAGGTCCTGAGTTCAATTCCCAGCAACCACATGGTGGCTCACAACCATCCATAATGAGATCTGGTGCCCTCTTCTGGCATGCAGGCATATATGCAGGTCAAATACTGTATAAATAATAAACAAATAAAATATTTAAAAAAAAAAGTTTCAGTGTTTAGAGTTAGAAACTTATAAAGAGCAAAAGAGGGAGGCAGGACTCTGATATGGCTCTGTGCACAAACCTGAGGACCTGAGTTCAATCCCTAGAATCTACATAAAATCGAAGAGAATCAACTCCCCAAAGCTGTCCTCTGACTTCCACATAGTTGCTGTGGTCCCAGCATGTCACACACACACACACACACACACACACACACACACACACACACACGCAACAATAACAAAAGAAGTTAATGTTTTTAACATGACATGCTCTTTAAAAAAAAGTGGGAAGAGAAGAGCAAATGTTTACTGAGCATGCAATATGGCTCTAGCATAATCTTTCACATATTTCTCCTAACAGCTTATAGGGAGGTATTCTTATCTCAACACAGACCGGGGAAGATGGCTCAGTGGATACACTGCTTGCCAGGGAAATATGAGGACCAGAGTTCTTAGAGCCACAATCCATGTTAAGTCCAGTGGGCATGGCAGCCCACCTGTAATCCTGCACTCAATGCCTCTGGATTGGGGATCCCTAAAACAAGGGATGTGTGGTTGGCCATACTAGCCATACTGGAGAGCTCTAACCTCAACTGAGAGACCTGACCTCAATGAACAGGTGGAGGGCAGTTGAGGAAGACTCAATGTCAGCCTCCAGCCAATTCACACATATGTACAGTTGCTCACAACACACATGCATACTCACACAGAGACATGCAAAACTTAAATGAAAAACAGGAAAAAAAAATCTTAAGAGATAAGAAGTAATGTTTCTATAGATGGTAAAAAAAAAAAAAAAATACACCCAGATTGAAATACACTACTAGCAAAAACAAACCTCACAACGTGGACATACTTAATGGTGTGCCATGAAAAACTGTTTTAAGAGTGTAAACACTAGCAATAGCAAACATGATTATTTCTCTGTTATTGTTTCATGATTTACAAAACAGAAGAAAACATTTTTTTGGAAGTATTCAAGGCCGCTAAAGGGGAACAGAATCCTTGGCAGTAAAACATCATGAAGAGGACCTTCTAAGTATCTGCATTTACAAAGAGGAATGAGAGAATTTTATTTCAGGAGTACACTGCTTACCTTTGTTTAGAAACTTAGTAAAAAGAGAACCATAATAGGCAGTGGTAGCATATACTTTTAATACCTGCACTCTGAAATCAAGAGGGAGGCAGATCTCTATTAGTTTGAGGCCAGCCTGGACTACAAAGCCAGCTCCTGAACAACTTGTCACAAAAAAACAAACCAAAACAACAACAACAACAAACAATCAAACCAAAACAAAACCCACCATCACCACCACCACCAAAAGAGAAGCAAGCAGCTATATCTGATAATAATGCCCATGAAGTCATTTGGCTCATTACTATTATTGGAAAATGAAAGTTGAGCTTTACTAATCACTGAGTAAAAAAATGCTAAAAATAAAAATAGAGCAAAACTCAAGTAAGAGTTCATGTCAAAGCAGCTATTTATATAACCAGGAGTTAGGTGAGTTTTCCCCATTTTTATTATACCACTAATATTTCAAAAATTACTATATAATGTGGTTATTTATGAGATATTTATAAATAATGAAATTACAAGACAGAAAATTAAAAACACAAAATTTCTCTGCAGAGGGCCAGTATCACTCACCTAATAAAAAAACAAATGAAAACAAAAACCAAAATTAATTTCAAGGTGTGTGACTATCAGTACAAATGAGAAAAAAAAAAAAAAAAAAACTTTTTAAAGGACTGCAACAAAAAAGCACAACGTTCTTCAGAACTCCAAGAAAAAACTGTATGGATGAACAGATCAAATAGAAAAGTTAGGAAAAAGAGACGTGAACAGTGCTTTAATATATTTATATCTAAGAATATTTTCTTCCACACATGTAGCTTACATAATAATATCCATACCACAATATTTTGAACACACAAAGCATATGCCCTCAAATGGACTGAAATGCTATTTAACTTTCTTTGGTAATATTAAGTACCTACTATGCTGAACACTAGCCTTAGAAAATGTATCAGTTCCCATTAAGAAAAAGACCATCCTGGCCTCCCAGAGCACGTTCCAGTGGAGAAGAGATCAAAGAAAGCAGTATGTAGAGAGATCCCAATAAAGGTACCTGACAATGCATTTCCAAGAAGAGCCATCTTGATCATCTTGTTCTTCTATGTACATTCTGACGTTGTGGTCTTGATCCAACTGGTACCAGTACATGAGGCCATCTTTGTCTCGCCCAATTGGCTGGAGACGCATAGTATCAGCATCTTCCTCATTAATTATATTCTTGAATTTAAGATTGTCATCAAACTGACACTCACAGAGATACTGAAAAACAGTTATGCTGGGGCTTAAAATACTATGCAAACATGTCTTCAAAATAAATATGAAACACTTTGAAGACTGACTCAGGGACAGAGCTGAGAAATCACAGTTTAATTTGTTTTGCACCACTCTATCAATTCATTGTGCAAAATCTACTTAAAGTAACCAACTTTAAAAGGTAAACTTGAAGGTAACATTTTAAGTTTACACCAATGTAGAATTTTAACACAAACACACACAAATCAAATTATATTGCTAAACTATGAGTTTTGTGCACTAAAACTACCATTGTGTAATACTGTATTTAAATTTTCACTTTTAAAACTATTAATATAATTGGCAAATAAAAATCAGATACACTCATGATTCAATATACAAACTATCATATATTGTACAAAGTATTTAAATTTTCACTTATTTTTAAAACTCTTAATTGACAAAAATCATAAACACTTGTTTAATATACAATGTAGAATGATTAACTAAAGCACACTCTATGATGAGAACACTTCTACTAACAATTTTCGACTATATAAATCACCTTACATATATCATCCAAGTACTTGAAACTTTGTAAGTTTACCCCAAACCTGCCCAATCTTGTTGACAGTGCACTGACCAGGGTTAACCACCACCTGACTCTTTAAAGTTCTGCATTAAAGGAAGAACATGGTATAATTTCCTCCTGAGCCTGGCTTACTACACTTAATACAATGTCCTTCTAACTTAAAAATGTCTTAAATTACATTTTTACTTTTTTAAAAAATGTGCTTAGGGGCACGCGTGTCACAGCTTGCACGCGTAGGTCAGAGAACAACTTATGGGAACAGTTCTCTCCCGCTACCATGAGATCCCGGGGCTGAACTCACAGCTTCACCCTTGAGGGTGGTTGTTTCACCCTCTGGCCCTATCAGTAGCACCTTTTCTTAAAGACTGCAAAGCATCCAGCATGTCTCCGCATGCAGCATGCATTTCTTATTCACTAGGGTCCACTGTAGCTGCTGTACTGCACATGAGAGTACAGGAGAGGCTCACTGCTGACTTCATTTCCAGAAGAATTACAGCCAACAGTGGGAGTGCTGAATCACGAGGTCTTCCACTTAAACATTTCTGGCAAACTGTCACACATTTTGTTCCGAAACAGTATTTTTTAAAAATCCTAATTTTTTCCCCTCTCCTCTGAAGGCTGCTGTAGGAGAACTACTTGAGCCTAAGAGTTTGAGACAAATCTTTGCAAAACAGTGACGTCTAGGTTCAAACAACAACAAAACAAAACAAAAACAAGGACAAATTTGACTACAAATATAAATGCTAAGTAGATAGGGTACCTCAGAAAGTCCGCTACATGCATCTTGTGGACTTTTCATATGACCTAAGAGAGCAATTAACATCTAACGATAAAATAACAGCTACTTTTTAGCCGTATCTTATCTCACATACATACTGACATTGTGGATTAAGAATCGCTTAGCTTGGGGGCGGGAGGAGATGGCTCAGTGGCTAAAAGCACTGACAGCTCTTCCAAAAACCTGGGTTCAATTCCCAGCACCTACATGGCAGTTCACAACTCCAGCTCCAGAGGATCTGATAGCCTTTCACCAATGTACATAAAAAAAATAATTAATTAAAAAAATCATTTTCCCAGCAGAATCAGCCAAATCTCTGAGTTTCGGGCCAACCTGGTCTACAGAGTTGAGTTCAAGATAGGCAGGGGTACATAGAGAAACCCTGTCTCCAAAAAACAAACAAACAAATGCCACAAAAGAAACAAAGTAACACAGACAGACAAGCAAATCACCAAAGACTCTCAAGGCTGGAGAAGGGCACTACTGATAAAGCACTGCACAATCTCAAAGCAATAAAGACCTTGTTCGTTTTTCCCACATATTAGCTTCTTTTATACTGACCGCTTGATTAGTAATTGGGAAATATAATGAAACAGAATAAAACTTCAAGTAAAACTATGCTGAGATTGAAAAGACCCATTTTAATCAAGTACTTTTAGTTACATGAAGGGCTTTGTTTTTTTTTTTTTGTTTTGTTTTGTTTTAAACACATTGGCATGTCCTTAGTTACCTGGAAAACAATAAGGACTTAAAACTGTATTAAATGATTAGATTACCAACAGTCTGTAATACAGTGATTGATGACGGTGACAGCTGAAACAATGAACAAAAGTACCAAAGCAACTGTTTCCTTATTCTGTTACTCTTATCTCTAATCAGAAATAGTAATTGATACATTGTAAAGATAATCCTTAAAAATAGGAAATACAAGAATTGACTTTTATGTGTGCATTGTGCATATGCACTTCTTTGCATGTGTGTGGGTGTTCCTACACATGGAGGCTAGGAGTTAACATGAGATACGTCTTCACAGACCAGTCTCCATTTGTGATTGAGACAAGGACAATCACTGGCAGCAGAGAGCCAGGCTTTGCCTGTTGTACCCATCCAGCTTGCCTCCCAAGCGCTGAGATTATAGGCAGGCTCACAATACCAGGCTTTTAAATGGGTTCTGGAGGTCTGGGCTCTGATACCCATGCCTTTCGAGCAAGGACTCTATCTGCAAAGCCATCTCCTCAGCCCAGAAGAGATTTTTTTATCACTGAAAAACAAGAAAAATGAGAGAACCTATTGTTCTCTAATCGTAAGTGTCCACCCCCCCCCCCATTGCTTTTTGTTGGGATAGAACAGCCAGGCTGGCCTCAAGTTCAGGACCTCCCTGAGCCAGCCTCCCAAGTACAGGGGTTACAGGTGTGCAGATCCATGCTCAATTTTATTTTACTTTAAAGTTTTATTACCTTTATTTATTTACTTATTTAGAGGGGCACATGCATGCTGTAGCGCTTATGTGGAAGACAGAGGACAACTCTGCAGAGTCATTTCTCTCTTTCTCCCATGTAGGTCCCAGGGATCCAAACTCAGGCTGTCAAACTTGGCGGCAAGTAATTTTTACCAACTGAAATATCTTGCTGACCCTTGGTTTTCTTTACTTTGTAATTTAAGCATCAAAGTAAACTTTTAAGTTAAAATTACTGCAACAAATAATCTATGTATTACCTTTAAGAGGGCTAGCTTGCACTCAACACTCATTTCAAGATAGCCTTTCTTCTCCATCTCCCATGCCCAGGTACTGTTAAACTCTTGGCATATCTGAAAAAGAAAATTAATAGCTTAATATATAAAAATGATTTTTGTTGACATTTGTTGTACTTTGGATTTGGACCGTTCCCCCAAAGGCTCAAGTGCTGAAAGCGTATTAGTTTAGAAGGTGGGGCTAGTTGTAAAGTAGATCACTGAAGGGTTTTATTACTGTCCCTGTTTCCTGTGCCCACTTCTGCTTCTGGGGTCCCATGAGATGAGAGGCCTGCTGGTGCACCACCTACTCTCTGCCATGATGTTCTGCCTTACCACAGGCCCAGAAACAGCAGAGCCAAGAGACTACACCAAAATCTCTGACATTATGAGCCAAAATAAACCTTTGTTTATGTTGGCTTTCTTAGCCATTTTGTCATAGCAATATAAAGTTGAATAGCAATGAACATTTGTCTTCTATGATTATGTTGTGTTTTTATTAATACACATATATAGAAGAAAGAATCCAGAAATGACAGGCCAATCCAATTTCAACCTACACTGTATACTACTTAGATCTATCAGAAATCTTTAGTCATGCCTGTAACAACTTAAGAAAGAATTTCTGGAGTTGGAAAGATGGTTCAGTGCTTAAGAGCACTTGCTCCTCTTGCAGAGGACCCCAGTATATTTCCCAGCATCCACATGATGGCTCACAAACATCCATAACTCCAGTCCAGAAGCGTGCCCTCTTCTAACCTTGAAGGGCACCAGGCACGAATATGTGCACATACATATATGCAGACAAAACATACACATAAAAATAAATCTAAAGAGCATTAACAATGATTTGAAAAAAGAATTTGTTGCTTGCTAGTCTGTTCAACAACTGTATGTTTATTTTATGGATATAATTTTTCCACCTGAGAATAATTATTTGAGTCTCCCAAAAGGCTGAAATTCTCTGAAGTCAAAGGGTGACAGTTTGTTCTTTTTTTATCACTAGACAGAAGTACAAACCCATGTCAAATTCTACATACATATTCAACAGAACCTCTTCCAATTAATGCCCTCTTTATTATGGGTACAAGTAAAAATGCCACTGCTAGGCATTTTACAGCTTCAGTGACAGGCTTTAACTTGAATGTTTCAGGAGTCTCTTCCTACACACGCACTTTAGGCACATCAGAGCCACTGTAACATAGTGAAGAGATGTAGAAAGACTCCACTCAAGTCAGCGCAAGCTGGCTGTGGGGCCATGCTTGTAATCTACACAGAGGTGAGTGAGGAGGACCACGGGGTTCAGACAAGCCTTGACTACACAATGACACCTTGTCTGACACAGCAACACAGCTAATGGAGTAAACTCTTTCCGTGAAGAATTCTTTTTCAGATTCTTTCACAAGGAGCTAGAAAAGACTCATGTGCAAAATTCCAGGGGGTATTACTTCTCTGACCAAGTGGGTTTTATTTTCAGCAATAAGATAACAACAATAATAATAATAGTAATACTGATCTTAAAGGCATAAAACATGCAATGTACCTGCCAATGTCGTGAGTTTTTTGCAAATCAGGAAACAAATAACAAAATGAAGGGCAAAGCAATAAAACCAATACAAGATGAGAAATTATGCTGGTATCAGGGCATTGGCTAAAACAGATTTGAGACAAACACACAAATAGGCAAAAAAGAAAGCTTTAGCAACCCTCTTAATCCAGGGTAAGACGGACTTCCTGGAAGAGGCATGCTTTCCCAGCCTCCCTAGTACCACCTTTTACCAATTAGCTTAAAACACATACACATACAGACATGAGGTCAATATTAGGCAAACAATATGACCAAAAACTATACAAAAAAAAAAAAATGATAAAAGTCTCATAGAAAGGTTAAGCTTCCCATTTCCTTGAATGCCACAAAGCTCCCTCTAATTGACTGCACTGTTTTGTATATATACATACGTGTATGTGTGTATTCATATAAAGAACAAATAAAAACCCAAGGGGTGTCATTAAAAGAAAAACTGTACATTAGACAAGAAATGACTATGTATCAAAAAGTTAAAGTGGCAGGATCTGAACAGGTCTGTCATGCCAACAAACAAGACTTATGAATGTTGGAAAGTCTGTGGCAAGATGTGCTAGGCTGCACACTCCTTTAATCCCAGCACTCAGGGAGGCAGTGGCAGATGGAACACTGTGCGTCTGAGGCCAGCCTGGTCTATAGAGCATGTCCAGGACAACCAAGGCTACACAGAGAAACCCTGCCTCAAAAAAAAAAAAAAAAAAAAAAAAAGGAAAAGGAAAGTCTATGGCAGCCCTAGACTGTCAGGTAGTACACCTATAGAGCTGGTAGCCTCTCAAATACTGACAATGAGTTACCATATTACTTAGCAACTCTACGATTTACATAAGAAAAATAAAACATCAAAGAAAGAGCAATACTGTTCTCAAGGGCTAAAAGGGTAGAAACAATCCACATGTCAACAGAATAACAGAATACAAAATACAATCCACAAGGAATGAAGTATTAGGGGATATGGCTCACCTGTATAGCATAGGAAGGCCTTAGAACAGTGGTTCTCAACCACCTATAGGTTGAATCCCTTTCATAGGGGTCGCCTAAGACCATCAGAAAACACAGGCATTTACATTATGATCATAACAGTAGCAAAGGTACAGTTATAAAGTATCAACAAAAATAATTTTATGGTTGGTATTCAATCCAACGTGAGGAACTGTATTAAAGGATCACAGCATTAGGAAGGTTGAGAACCACTGTCTTAGACCTACCCCAGCAGCCACCCCACAAAGAAAAAGAAATGAAAACAAACAAGCAAAAAAAGCAGTAACAACAAAAATGAAGAAACAATATCTATGACTATCTGGATGAACCTGAAAGACATGGTAATGCAAGAAACCTCAAAAAAGGAAACCTATGACAGAGTCTATTGATTCCAGAGTACACAAAACGTCCAAATTATTGAAATTAAAACTCAGAGACAGAGAGATGAACAGTGAGTGCTGTCAGCTTCACAGAATCTAGAACCATCAGGACATGCCTGCGGTGGATTATCTTGGCTATAAAAATTGAAGCGGGAAGACCCGTCCACTGTAGGGGGCACTATTCCCTAGCTGGGATTCTAGACTAGATAAATGGAGAAAGAAAACCAGCCAGTCTCAGAATGCAATCACTGACTGGATACAACGTACAAAGCTAACCCAAGCTCCTGTACTTCAAACTATGATCCACCACAAACCTTTTCCATGTTAAGCTGCTTGTCAGAGTATTTTATCAGAGCAACAGAAATTCAACTGAGACAGCAAGAGAAAAGGGGAAAACAGGAAGTAAGACCTAATGGGTATGGCTTTCACTTTTTAGTGGTAAAAATGTTTTGAAATTAAAATAGGTTTCAAACTCTTTCCAAATATACAAGAAACAGCAACAATAACAAGGCAAAAACTGAACTGTTCATTTTAAAAGTATTGTTATTTTGAGACAGGTGCATAAGCATACATTGACCTCAAATTTACTATGAAGCTGAGGCTGACTGAATTACTGATCCTTTTGCCTCAGTCTCGTAAGTACTAGGATTACAGATGTGTGCGCCCACATCTGGAAAAAGTGTTAAGTTTATAAAATGTAAAAAACATCTTGAATCTTAGATTGGCTTGTGTGTTATCTCCAGCAAGAAAATGGGCAAAGAGGTTGCACTCTGGCTAGTAAGGGAGACATACTGACATCATCATCATCATCATCATCATCATTCTACGTAGCCAGTTGGAGGCCAACCTGGGATACATGAGACCCTGCCTTAAGCCAAGGCAAACCAAGCAGAGACAAAAAAGAAATGGTCTCTGTACCAAGAAATCCAATCGATCAATCAATCAATAATCTACAAATACAAGAACACAGGACAGAAATACGTAGAAATACCAATACAGTCAATGAAGGAAGAAAAGCCATCACAAAGTTTTTATTCAAGCAGTGACATCTGTGAATAGATCAGAAGGATTAGTGACATTTTACCCAGCAGGGGGCAGAGTGTATAAAAACTGTTTTTTCTTATGTGTCCAGTGCGTCACATGGGGGTGAGTGAGGCAGGGATAGGAGAGCTCCAAGCGCTCTGATGTCCTGACCGATGTACCTACACAATAATGGTTTTCAGACACACACACACACACAAATAAAAGCACAAAAAAGAACTTTTTACTGATATTTTGTACCCTCTGTTTATACCCCATTTCACTAATTTCTGCCCTGATTTTTATCACTTTTTTCTGACTACTGTTTGAGGGTTTAACTTACATGGAAGTTTAAAATCACATAGCTTGATATTCAAATCTTGCCTCTCCCTACCAGCAGGGTGATTTTGTTGAGTCAATCACCTGTTCGAGTTGGACTTGCAGGTTCTTCTTGTGTAAATGGAGGTTTGGGGCAAATAAAAGATAAGGAATGTGCCAATCACATACTCGCTGTGTCATGCCTCCATTATATATATGCAAACCTGAAAGGAATTCTAGAAAGCCATAAGAAGAATCAATTAGAATGCAAGTAGGAGTTAAAAGAGCTGGTTTAAAAAAAAATTAAAAAAAAAAAAGGTATGCTAGTAATCTTCAAAATGTAGGTAAATACTATTTTCCAACCCTAGCTTGTGTATATAACAGGCTTAAGGTGTAAATACAATTGTTAGTGATAGATTCATTTTAATTTCCCATTTTTATTATCTGGGGATTAAGCATATATTTTGCTGAACCACTTCTAATATTATGTTCTATGTCCAGTATGATAGTGAATTTTGAATAATATTAGCATATATCAACAACAATGGTTTCGTTATGCTGTTTTTATACACATACATAATGTATATGTTTATAGTTTTTACCTTTGTCTTATTTTGATGTTTTGTTTCATTTATATGAGTGTTTTGCCTGCACGAATACACATGCACCATGCGCATGCAGTGTCCATGAAGGCCAAAACTCAGTGCATCTCCCGGAACTGCAGTTACTCGGGTAAACATGTGGTGCTAGGAACAAATCCTGGGTCCTCCAGAACAGCAGCAAGTGCTCTTGATGGC